GGTCAAGGAAAGGTTTATATATGGAGGGAAACTTTCTTTGTTGGTTGCCAGGCGTGGGATAGGAGGGGAGGGAATACTGCCAAAAAAGAAAAAAAAGCATTGACCCATGTCACTTTTGTTTTGTGTATTTCACTGTACATAAATTATATTTCAATAAAATTCATTAAAGAAAAAAAAAAAACTCACTGCCATCAAGTCGATTCTGACTCATAGCGACCCCTCCTTGGGTTTCTGAGGCAGTATCTCTACAGAAGTAAATTGCCCAATCTTCCTTCTGAGGAGTGGCTGGTGGGTTTGAATCGCCTTCTGGTTAGCATTCAAATGCGTTAGGCACTAAGCCACCAGAGCTCCCCTTAAGAAAGTAGGGGTTTCTATAATCTCTAGAAGCATCACTGAGCTTCTGGGTATAGGCGCTGTCAGTGAGGAACATGTAAGAGCAGTTAAAGCAAAGAAAAGAAAGGGAAAATACCTAGCTTTCATGCCTTAAGGCCATTTCCAGTAGGAAATCTTCAAAAGAATTACTTTGCATTCTTCAAAGTGCTACAGATTTTACTGCTAGCTTACAAAAAATATCTGCAGGACCCTGATGTCCCCACTTTATAGTGAGATTAGGTGTTCTGCTAAAAAAATCACAAAGTGAATCAAGCACAAGGAATGAGAAAACATATGGCATAGCATTAGACCATCTTGTGATAATAAAAGCCATTAAGCAAAGAAATGTCATAATTAAGATGGAACTTTAACCTGAGAAGTACCACAAGCCAACAAAATAAAAAGGACATCCTTTTGAATAGGTACTACTCCAAATTTTTTGGTGTGGGTTCCTGCAGAGGGTAGGTGAGTACTAAGTACTCTCTTAGTGGCAAGCACTTGTGAGAGGTTCAACAATTCACAGTCTCTGACTTTGAGTGCTATGCAGTAGTCTTCAAAACAGACTCATCATCAATTCCCTCCCCTGAAATCTGTTTCAGCTTTTTACCAGATGTCAGCTAAAATGTTCTCTCCTTGAATGAGTCACTGGGCCATCAAGTCTTAAAGAACATCAAGGTCAACTGGAATAACAGTTCACATATACAGTGTTCTACATCCTACTTTGCTGAGTGGCAACTGGAGTCTTAAAATCTTATGAGCTGTCACCTCAGGTACAATTATTGGTCTCTCTCCATCTGGAGCAAAGTAGAGTGAAAAAAAAAAAAAAAATCAGACGCAAGAAATAATTAGTGCAAGAGACTGACTAATGGACCATGTAAACCTCACCCTCCATGACCCTGAGACCAAAAGAACCAGATGGTGCTGCCCAGCTACTACTGGTGACCACTCTGAAAAAGATTACAATAGAAGGTCCCAGATAGAGTGGGAGAAAAATGTGGAATAAAACTCAAAATCATAAAGAAGACCAGGCTTATTGGTCTCATAGAGACTGCTGGAACCTCCAAGACAATGGCCCTTCGTCACACCTCAAGCTTGGAATTGAACTCACCCCAACAGTTCAACTTTCAGCCAAACAGAAAGGCCTATGAGGTGAACAATAACGCTAAGGAGGTACACACTCCTTAGAACAATCAACTATACATGATCAAAATGGCAGCATATGCCCAGGGATAAAGCTTAGAAGGCAGAAAGGGATAGGAAAGGACAAAGGGAAACAGTAAACACAGAGAGGAAGTAGGAAGAGTGCTGTTACATTGTGGGGACTGCAATCAATATGAAACAAAACATGTTTGAATTGTTGAATGGAAAACCAATTTGCTCTGTAAACTTTCACTCAAATCACAATAAAAAGTTAAAAATAAATTTAAAAAAAAAATCCTCTTCTTGAAGAGTTTCCTTATCACCCTAAAGTAGCTCCCTTTCCTTTCTTCGTAGCACTTTTCACAAACTCTAATTATCATTTATTATTAGATGATAATGATTCACTTAATATTTTTTTCTCCCATGCACACTTAGAACATCAACTCCGTAAGTTAAGAAACCATGTCCATCTTCTTCACCACTAATTAGCACCCTCAGTGACTAACACAGCATATAACCATACGAAGTATCACATACTTATTAAATAAATGAAAATAAGAATTGTGACCAGGGTAAGTTTCCTGAAGACCAACAATGTCCCAGACAAGTTAGCCTCAAATCCCTAAATTTGGCTCCCTTAGTCATAAAGGAGTGTACCAGATACTCACCTCTACCTGAGTGACATTGATGACCAGCACCACCACCATCAACACCGCAAGCAGACAGCAGAAAAGCCGGAGTTTGAAGAAACTGGTCCACATTGTCGGGCTGTGTCTTGATCTCCCATGGCCGACACCATGCTACCTTTACTCCTCAAAGCTCCATGTTTTTGTTTTTCTGAACTGCAGGTGAGCTTTCAGTTTAATCTGCTTCTTTCCTTCTAGTATCCATAAGGGTTCTTTGTGTAGAGAGACTGGATTTATTTAAGAAGCACATTTTTCTTCAAACAACTCCTTCAAAGAGGGAAGATGAAAAAATAGATCACCAATTGCAATAGACTAGGGTAAGCAAAAAAAAAAAAAAGAAGTATTCTATTTCCTCTTCCTTACCTTTACCTAAGGCCCTAAGTCATGAGGAGAAAGCAAAGACCCAGAGCACAATAACATCTATTCCTTTCCAATCTCCTCAAAGTCTCCTTTCCCACTCACAGGGTTCTATGTAAATATAGTAATATTTGCCCTCTTACCAGTTAGATTTTAACTTATAAGAGAGCAAAAAAGCCTGTCCTCAAACTTTTAGAAATTGCAAAATAAAATGATGTTAAATTTGTACAGAGTAAGTAAAAGCTTCCCTTCGCTTATAGTGTAAGTTATATGTGGCTGCTAGCTGCCCTCAAGTCAGCCCGTATCTCATGGCAACCCCATACACCATGGTACAAAAACGCTGCTGTCATCATGATTAGTTGCAGATCAGGCCATTGTGATCCATAGGGTTTTCATTGGCTGATTTCAGAAGTAGATTGCCAGATCTTTCTTCCTAGCATGTCTCAGTCTGGAAGCTTTTCAGCATCATAGCAACACACTAGCCTCCACAGATAGATGAGGGGTACTGCACATGAGGTGCAAAAACCAAACTCACTGCCATCAAGTCCATTCGACTCAGAGCGACCTCTCCTTGGGTTTCCAAGGCAGTATCTCTACGGAAGTAGATTGCCCAGTCTTCCTTCCAAGGAGTGGCTGGCAGAAATGAGGTGCAATGGCCAGGAATTGAACCCCAGTTTTCTACATGGAAGAATATTCTACCACCAAACCACCACTGCCCTCTTAAATTATATACCATTATTATACAAATTATATTTAAAGCACATTAACAGGAAAATTTGTGTTTTTATAAGGAGTTCTGTGATATTGTGTAAATCATCCCGACATTCTCTGGAAAAAGAGGAGTTGCAAACCTCTGCATAGAGAAAGACAGGGAAAAAAATTAAGTTTTGGGGGCTGTCCTATCTCCTCACCTGTTTAGAAGCCTGGGAGTCATCCTGCTGGGGGGAAGCAGATACTAATTATCAGCTCCCCAACTATCTACATGGTCCTGGTGGTCCCTCAGATTAGTAATAAAGAGAAGAGGAAGGAGTCCTGCTCTGGAAATATGGGACAGGAAAGTGAAGCTTGGGGAGTGGGCAACAGGACACCCAAAAACATCACCACAGCTGCTAGAAGCAGAGGACTTCAGAGCCTGCCACTCATAAAAGTCACTGTTCTCCCATGTACTGAATTCAAAATGCTTCCCACGCTGCTATTCTGATATAGGTAAGAAAGAAAAAAAAAAAGAAAAGAAGAAGGTGCTAGTATTTTGTTCCCATTGAGGTTTTCCATGGTTGTAAGAGTGAAAAAAGGTGCATAATTGTGGTGTGGAGTATCTCATAATGCCTTAGCTGCACTAACATTCTCTCGATGTTGTGTTCAATCTGGCAAGCACCCTTCCTTCACTCCTCTCTTCCACCTATCTTAACCATTCCAACCCCAGAAGGAACAGGTCAACTCTTTCCCATTCCAGCTGCATTAGGGAGACAAGGCTGTACTACTGTAATATCTCGACACATGCTCTTGCTCTCTGTCTTTAGAATTCCCATAACACTTACTATTTTCACCTCTCAGCTGATCTCTGTATTTGTATGTATTTCTTACCTAACTAGACAATACTAGTTATATTTAAAAAACAGAAACCACATATCAGAGAATTAGCAACCTAGTGATAACAATTCATCATTCTCTTTTGAATCTGTCATCATACTTTGCTTCTTATATGTGTGAGATCAAGAACCTAGTTTTACACTAAGTAAGGTGATCTTTGTTCTTGGCTCCAGAGAAATAACCTTTGGAGTAACTGAAGTGTCTTGCCCCAGGACTTCCAGGCCACACCTAGGAATCTGTGCTGGGAAGTGGGAGCCAGTATCAACTATCCTCAGAGGCATTATTTAGCCTATCATGTTGTTGTTGTTGTTGTTATGTGCCATCGAGTCAGCCCTGACTCATAGCGACCCCTCCTTGGGTTTCCGAGGCAGTATCACTACGGAAGTAGGATTGCCCAACCTTCCTTCCAAGGAGTGGCTGGTGGGTTTGAACCTCCAGCCGTCTGGTTAGCAGGCAAGTGTCTTAGCCACTATGCTACCAGAGCTCCCAGCCTATCATGTAGGACTGGCTAATAAAAGCCCTGAACACAAAGACTTGGGAGAGCTTCCTGGTTGATGTTCTCATCATCACCTGAGAACATCTGATCTCAGGATGGTAGCACTTCCCTCAGGACACAGAAACTTGCACTGGGAACCCTCCCACACTTTTTTGGCTGTAATAAATGTGTAGTCGTAAGCATGATACTCTGTGTGAGTTCTATCAGTTTTTCCAGCAAATTATCAAATCCAAAGGGGCAGTGAGAGTCAGCAGGTCAGAAAGTAAAGGTGTATATGGATGCCCCAGTTTGCAACTGGCATCCTGAAGGGGTAGCAGGAAACCAGCTCCAACTTTGTGACCAGCCAATCAGAAGGTTGGGGTATCATGTGGACTACCCAGATTTGCAGCTGGCATCTGGTTATTTGGCAGTCTGAAGGATTGTGTCCTTTTAATTTGTAATCCCTGATTTAACTCCAGCTGGCTAAGGTCAGAGAGAGAGTATTATGGGGGCAGCTGGCGATGCGAGTGGAGAAGTAGGAATGAGGGCTGCATCAATATTTACATCTTGGGAGATTGGATTCACACTGTTCCTTACTATACAACATGGTATGTACTGATTCAACAATTCATGCAACAAATAATTATGGAAGCCTACTTTGTGTAGGGCAAATTTTCTGTATAAAGTGCCAGACACTTTCCCTTTAAAACCTTATACTCATATTAGGCAAGGAGTAGTTTCCCTTCTTAAATAAAAGAGGAATAAATCCACCACTAATGGCCACCTCTGCAGGAATGTCAGGTACCACCATGAAAACAGCACTAACCATCTCATAACACCCAACATTCACCTATCCATCCTGAAGTGCCTGTACATTATGGGGAAAAAAAATGATTACAAAGCAGACCAAATAACTGTCAGCAGGGCCCCAACCTGCTCTTCTGTAGAAACTCTTCTCAAAGAGTTGGTCATAAGAATCATGGTTTCTCTGATGGTCAATAAGGTAGAAGACAAAAGATGACACTCTCCAATAATTCAGCTACAGCCTGAGCAGGAGTGGTTTGTGGCCTTTGTGGATGGGCATTGTGGAGAATGTCAGTGTGGTTCAGAAGCAGTCAACAGCAACACATCAGTGGTCAAGGTGCCAAAGAATAGCAAAGGCAACAGACTCCAAAGCTAAAGGAACTGTTGTTATTTGCCGTCGAGTCGCCCCCGACTCATAGCGACCCCTCCTTGGGTTTCCGAGGCAGTATCACTACGGAAGTAGGATTGCCCAACCTTCCTTCCGAGGAGTGGCTGGTGGGTTTGAACCGCCAGCCTTCTGGTTAGCAGTCAAGTGCTTTAGCCACTATAGCAAAGGCAACAGACTCCAAAGCTAAAGGAACTACAGCACTATAAATAACATGCAAATAGGCAAGAAGCCACTCATGGCCAAGGATTCCTACTGAAAATCATTATGGAAGATCATGCCAGGAAAAAACCTGATGTCTTACTACAAGCAGGCAGAGCACCAAGATTTGATACCCACTTGTACACATTAAACAGACGTAGCCTAAATTAGAACCATAGTTTCATGGGGTATGGCATGATATAGTTTATAAAGTTATGTAAGGCATTTGACTGCTAACCAGAAGGCTGGTGGTTCAAACCCACCAGCCACTCCTCAGAAGGAAGATTGGGAAATCTACTTCCGTAGTGATACTACCTCGGAAACCTAGTAAGGGGTCGCTGTGAGTTGGGTCCAACTCAACGGCACATAGCAACAACAACAAAAACACATCCTAGTTTGGTAAGTAATGTCTGGGGTCTTAAAAGTTTGTGAGTGGTATTTAAGATACCACTAATAGTCTCTACTAGTCTCTACTCGTCTGGAGCAAAAAAGAAGGAAGGAAACCAAAGACTCAAAGAGGAAACCAGTCTACAGGGCAAATAATCTCACTTACCACAATCTCACTTACCTTGAGACCAGAGCAACTAGACGGTGGCCAGCCACCACTACTGACCACTCTGACCAGAGGCTACGTGAGACTGAAGGACTCCCTGAGACTATTAAGCTGAGATATTCTTCAAATCTTAAACCAAAACTCACCAATGAGGTAGGTCACTTAGTAACTAAAAAACAAACTGACTCAAAAAATAATGCATGCCCCCCCATAAGTACTGTGCTCCTTTAAAAATCACCTATATGAGACCAAACAGTCCATAATTACTTTAAAATAAAAATGAGATTGTTAAAGGAGTAGGGACACTATATTAATGGAAATGAAACAACCAGAATGGAAATGATGAAAATATTCATGCATTGTGAAGAATATAACCAGTGTCACTAAACAATTTGTATAAAAATTGTTGAATGGACCTACACAGCTGTGTAAACCTTCACTGAAAACACATTAAAAATATTATTTAAAAAGAAAAACAGATATAGCCTTTAGTATACTAGATAGACTTCTCTTAGAAAAGGCATATACCAAAATGTTAATAGTGGTCCCCTCTGGGCAGTTTCTGTTTTCCTTTTATCTTTATCTATAGGTCCTCATTCATTACAAGCAAATATAAATCACAAATGTAAAAAAATAATAATAATAAGTCACACTTTTAAAAGTAAAAACTCAAGATGAAAGGAGAAACAAGGCATTAAATCATATTTGGG